GTTGGCAACTTGGAACTTAATCAAGTCAAGCCGATACGTACTGAATTGCGCAACTGACTCCAGTTGATGGTAGGAATGCTCCGTAGAGAAGGTCGAGGAGGCAGGCAAGCGACTTACATGGTCATGTTCCCGAATCTGGCGACCTGCAGAAACGATCTTCCAGGGCGCCAATGAATGAGGGGCGATATGTATTATTTGATAGCTAGTTCCAGCGGAAAGGTGTGACAGAAAGCGTAACATTAGCGAGTGACGCAGGTCGGAGGGCAGTGTGCATCGATGAGCTGGGCAGGGGCAGTTCCAGTCACAGTGGACAAGACAGTGTGTGGCGTGTTGCGAAATAGATTGCCTCGGTGACGCGTGATGCCATCGGTGTCGGAGTCATCAATACATGTATTGTTATACTTGAGCTCATCAGAAGCCCTTGTAGCTTGGATTCCTCAGCCTAGTCGATCTCCCGAAGAGACACCAGTTATCCTCTTACAAGAAGTTTTGCGAAGGTCCTGTGGCAAGGCGATCTTTTGATGTGCGAGCTAGGGTTTTTTATGCTGATGCCTGCGCATTCGGTCAAGGGTGTTCCGCCCATCCGGATTGATCGAATCTCTACGAGTAGTGACATGGGTTACAGTAAAGGTGTTCATCTGTAGTTTCACGGGCGGATGATGGATGAGCGTCAGTCTTTCCCTTTACTCGGTAGAATAAACCACTGGGGGACTTCTCACCAATTTAGAGGTGTCTGTGGGCGAGGTTTCGGTGACTCACAGATTTGTTTCTCAAAAGTTGACGACTCAGGACTATTGAAGATGCTCTGCTGAATTAGTAATGTGAAGCGCGCAAGCCGGTGGTGGAGGGGGGGATTTGATTCAAGTCGGCTGATCGTGCTGCCCCGTGTGGATGGCACCAGTCATCCACTCAGAATGTCGGACGCAAGACACTCTCTTAAGCTTGCCCGGTAATGATGGTGCTGGGGACATATCCTTGCACCATCACATCGAACCTCCCCTCTCAACCCAGTTAGGAGTCTGGTAGAAGGATGAAAAAAGTTCCAGCCCTAAGTCCCGTCCTCCCCACCCGTCCGAAGTGATAACCCAGTCCACGGTGGCACAGGTAGCTGCAGATCGACTGTGCAGTCTGAACTGCTCGGATCTGGGGTTACGACACGCGGATATCATCGCTGGTTGTCAACAATGGACAATGGCTTGCATGATCCTCTCCCCCCGTCTTCATTATCAGCCACAAACAATGTGTGATAGCCCCCGGCAGCCAATAGCCTCTCAAGGTTGAGTACATCTGGATCGGCAGAGGTGGTACTGATATCAGGATGTGATTAGAACGAGCCAACCCGGACGAAACGAGAAGGCAAGCTAGTCACTCACTCTAGACTCGCCTGAGACCAAACGGTTTCGGTCGGCCAGACTAAGGGCGGCGCGAGAGATCGTCGGTTTGTCCACTGTAGTCACTCTTCACCCTTGTGGATGAAGCGGTGTCCTGACTCGGATTATTTTTGGTGATAGTGGTAGAACTAACAGGTCAGGTCACCCGAGTTTCCCGCGTGTGGTTGCAGCAGGTTTTAACGACAGAACGAGGAGGCATCAGGCGGGAGGAAAATGGATCCTTCCGCAGCAATCTCCAAGGTTATAAACTGATCCGAGCCCCATGCAGGGAACGAGTAATCTGGCCACTTATTCTGTCGTACAAACTCTCCGACAACGATCTACAAAGTACGAGTACTGCACGGAGTACGAAGTACTGTACATATTCACTATTCTTACTTAACTCAATCGCCGCCCTGCCTCCGCTTAGTCAAACCCCGCCTGGCTGCCTGAGGTATTTCACTTATGTACTGTACCTACATACTCATTTGGATACCTGCTTGAATTGAAACACGACCGATGAATCCTTTTCAGGCCTGCCAAGACCCCCTCATGCGTTGTCAATCGGCCTATTCTTTCCTCCTTATTGTTCCCACCATACTAAATATTTGTTTTACATGAGGTGTGACCAGCCATCATTTTACCACCCACACTAGCCTCACCTACCATTCTTCTTTCCCCTCTTCGTTCTTTCACTTACCTACTTACCATTCCTCGCTTGTGTACTCCAATAACCGGAGCCAACTTGGCGTCATTCCATCGACAAAGTTGTTTCCACTGGGCAGCTTACACAACCTTCCAATCTTACCAGCTCGGAGTCATTGAAGGCTAGCCCGATTGTGACTAGCGCCCGTCGGTTCCACAGGAACCAATCGTTGATGCGATTCGCAACCAACACCCAAATGAGATAGGAACTTGATCGGTAGGTCGTGCATGAGATTCTCCTTTCTGCTGCATCTCTCGTTTGTTTCTTGGCCAACTTCCCTGAATCATACAAACACTATTGGCATGGAGAGTACATCCTTCGACATGAAGGAGGGCAGATCGCAGCAACAGCAGCAGCACAACGGAAAGAAGTGGAACCCCCCTTTTATGATGATCCAAGATGCATACATACCGTACCATAAGTTACCCGCCTGCCCCTCAACAATGGATTCCCGCGTCTCCCGCCATGACGCCATGGGCTTTTTTTGGGTCTTGATTTTCTTACGTTTGTCAACTTTGTTTGAGTTTCCCCGCAAGCTGACGATCAATTTAGACACAGACCCGAACTTTTCTTTTTTTCCCCTGCGTGACAATTCCTCCCCCCCTTCGGTCGAGGACAAGATCCAAGTCGAAATAGTATCCGTAATCCTGGGATAACCTCCAATATATCTACTGTACAAACTACAACACCAACAACAACAACAACAACGGACCCCGCATAGAGAATACCATCAGGCAAAACAGTCAGTCGGTTGCCTGACTTGGCAGCGAAGAGCCGCTGTCAGGAGAAGGCATCCGGGGTGCCTGGATCCAAATCATCCCATCGGTTGAACCGTTGAACCCACTCTCGATACTGGTTGGAACAAAAAAAAAAAAGCGGGATTTAATTTGAACAGGGAACAGGACCCCCCCCCAAAAATTACGGTACGAAAAGGGACAGACAATCAAATCTCCAGAATAAAACCCTCAATGGCTGCCTTTCCGCCTTCCTCCCCCTCAGCCTCTTCCTCATCTGCATCTTCCTTGCCCTCTCTCTATCCGTCCTCCTCCTACAGTTCAATTCACTCTCCACCATTGACCAGTGGTAAGTCCTTCTTCTTCGACTTCGGTCGTTCACTCGTCCGTCGTGCGCCTTCTGTCAAATCATCCTTCTGCCCCACCTTGTGCCAGCAGATCTTCCTACCCCCCCTCTACAGTACTAGTGGAATGCACTCTCCTCTTTGGGTTGCTTGCATTCTTCTTCTATCCCAAGTGACCCTTCGATGACCTGTTTCATTGTTTCAGCTTCACTTGTGGACAGAGATTAAGATTACCCCCGCCGGACACGTGTGGCATTTGGCTCTGCGCTTGTTCTGCACATTCCCAATGATTTATGCTGATCGCGTGCTCTTAGCCAATCTTTCCTCGTTGCCTTTATCGCCTTCCCAACGTCCCTCTAGTATTCGTGCCCGAGATCAGCTAGAGACTCTTATTGCGAGACACGGTTACCCCACTAGAGTTTCGTTGTCATCCCTCGAAGAATTAACGGCCACCTCGTCGACTTATAGTCCGCCGTCCCCCCAGTCACCCGTCTCGGAAACCACAGACTATTTCGCGGGTCTCAATCTCAACCACTCTGCATCTCGTCCGATACCTATACCAAAGCCATCCCATATCACACACGATCACGATTTTCCCGTGACCCCGTTGACCGGACGCTTTGACAAGGGCTACTACTTCGCCCACCGTGAGCACATCGAGAGAAGTCGTGATAAGCCAACCCATACAAGACCATCTCGTCCAGGGCATCGTTCACACTTCTCTGAACCGTCCAGAATGCGCTCTGATAGCTCGACATTGTACGCGCCGGTCGCTACTCCTGCCATGTCGTCAGCTGGTCGCCCTCTTTCCCCCCAACCATCGCGCGCCCGGGGCGGAAACTCATCCAAACCAGCCCCAGCCTTTCATCTGGGAAGCTTGCCACGGTTCCATCCCGCTGTTTATCAGTCCTCTGGAACCTCTCAGACCCTGTCTGCGCAGCCTCCATCACCTCGACAACCCCGACAGCACGGATACCGTGCGTCAGCCGGCTCTCGCGACTCCATGTGGCGAGACCTGGCGGATGGAAACATTCTTATTAAAGCTCCCTCACGCCCACTCTCACCCAGTCCATCTGCACCACGTCTCGACCCGCTGAACAGCCCTGGACCAGTTACACCTCTCGCACTCGAGGATGCAGGTGGCTATCTGGGCTCGGGCACAACCACTGACCCTACTGCTCGCGAAAGCCACTACTCCGGCCCGGCGCCTGATGCAGTGGACAAGCTCATCGCCCGCGAGGCCGAGCGGGCCCGGCAGAAGGCCAGAAAAGGGCTGAAGGGCTACTGAACAGCCACATCATCGCGAGAAATTGATTCCCTCCTCCATGTTGCATTTTCATTCTCATTTTCTTTTGTCTTCTCGTGTATTATGAGATCATGCGCCTATACCCCATATCGCCAAACCCAGACATTTTCAATTCTTTTCTTTCGGCTACTGTGTTACACACGAACTTTCTCTGGTTTTACCGTTGCCTACATTTCCTCCTCTCTCGGAGTTCTCTCGAGTTCTCGAGATAACATCTACTTCACCTTCAGCTTCACTTTACCGGGGACTGTACAGAAACAGACTGTCTTCCTCGTGGCTAGACTGGAATAGGAATAGAAATTGACCGTGATCAATGTTCCAAGCATTTTATCTATTGTTATTGGTATCCTTATCGATCATTGGTCTTGAGACGACTATCACCGTAAGGTATATGTACTAGTACTGATGCGGAAAGAGTAGCCACCCCGAGGTGTCGACCGGCAGTTTTGCCGCCCGGAGCTGGCTTGCAACTCCCCGAGCCGCCGGATTTTGCGGGGCCGCATCTTCAATCAATTGTTCCTCATCTTATTTGTCTCCCCCATCTTTTTCATCTTTCCCCACGACTGCATCCCTTCTCCCTCCAACCCCAGAGGAACTGCATAGATTGTCTACTGATACTTCGAGCTGTGTTATTGATCTCTTTGTATTTCTCGCAATCCATGGACGACATCCGAATCTATTAGCCCATCCTCAATCCTGTAGTCCGATTACGGACCCCCAACGCACATCCCGATCGAGTTTTATACCTGTCGGCCAGGTGCAGCCACTCTGATTGCCTCACTGGCCTTACATTCGAAGATTGAACTTCCCTCACACTCAGAACCATCCGCCGCCCATGTCATCAAATCCTAGCCCTGTCGCCTCGCCAACAACCAGTCTGGCGGAGCGCCCATCCTCACAGAAAATGGCCAAGGCCGGCACAGAGAGCGGGGTGCCCCCTCCCTCTACGAGCTCGAAGCGCGATTACAAGGGATTTGTTGCGGGCGTGTTCTCCGGGATCGCAAAATTAACAGGTACGTATTTTTCAAATATCCGCGTTTGGCGCTGCTAGAAGAGACAAACTAATTCGCCGTTGCTGCTTCCTAGTTGGACATCCGTACGTTTCTCTACCCTCCACCCGAGAACCCCATTTCGCAGGATTAATTGTTGGTCGACGATCGCAGGTTCGATACGGTCAAAGTACGCCTACAAACCAGCCATGACTCACACTTCCGCGGTCCGGTCGATTGTGTACTACAGACGGTGCGCAAGGAGGGAGTAAGCGGGTTATACAAAGGAGCCACGCCGCCGCTGGTCGGATGGATGGTCATGGATTCGGTGTAAGTCCTGTTGCGATGATTTCGAAAGCCTAAACCATAGGACCTCCGGATTTTGACCATGTCCCATCGTCCTTCAGTATGCTGGGGTCGTTGACGTTATACCGCCGCCTACTACTCGAGAATGTCTTCTCGAAGCCACACATACGCGCGATGACACCGTTCAGCGGTCGCCAGACCGATCCCACCACTCTCCCGAGTTTCGGCCACGGAATCGCGGGCATCATGGCGGGGACGACGGTCAGCTTCATCGCGGCGCCGGTGGAACACGTCAAAGCGCGACTGCAGATTCAGTATTCGGCGGACAAGACGAAGCGCATGTACTCGGGCCCGATTGACTGCGTGCGGAAATTGGTAAGGGCTATAATCACTCGCTACCCGCTTCAATGCGCTGCTGGTGTTGTCGTGGACACGGGAAGTGTGCTGACTTTTGTGTTTCTGGTAGCTTCGAACGCATGGAATCTCGGGACTTTATCGCGGACTCTGCGCCACGATCGTGTTCCGGGCGTTCTTTTTCTTCTGGTGGGGTTCTTACGATGTTCTGACGCGGATGTTGAAAGAGAAGACCAGTCTGTCGGCGCCCGCGATCAATTTCTGGGCGGGTGGAATCTCGGCGCAGATTTTCTGGCTGACTTCGTATCCGTCGGACGTGGTGAAGCAACGGCTGATGACGGACCCGATGGGCGGGGCCCTTGGGGACGGGGAGCGAAAGTTCCGGCGGTGGAAAGATGCGGCGGTCGCGGTGTATCGCGAGCGAGGATTGAAAGGATACTGGAGGGGATTTGTACCGTGTTTCTTGCGAGCATTCCCGGCGAATGCCATGGCTCTGGTTGCATTCGAGGGGGTGATGCGGTCGCTGCCTTGAATGGGTATAGTACACGGTACTATAAATGCGCTTTAACGACACTACCTAGACTAGACTAGACTAGACACATCTAGAATAACTCGAATAGAACCATGAATTAATCATGGCAGCAGTTATGGCAGCAATGGCAGTTCTGCAGTGCAACGGCCGCATGCGGCGCGATCTGGTCCCAATGCAACGGCTGGGAACAAGCCTGGCTTGGCATCTTTTAGCTGGATGCAGATCTTCTAAGTTGGGTTGCTTACCGTACCTACACAGTAACTAACTTAACGAGCACTGGATTCGGTCCGCGCGTCCAGTTCGTTTCCCGGCAGCCTGCCTGCCCATTAAACCCGACCACATCTTCTTCCATCATCGCATCTTCACCTTCTCTTCTCCCTCTCCCCCTTCACACTCCCCAACTCCACCAACTCTCTCCACTCACTCACTACAGTATGTTTTGGGCACGGTTGGTGATTTCTTTTCATCCTCTTGCTGGCTAAATCTCCGCTGCCAATTCGTACCGTACCTACATCCTATCGGGCCCAGACCAAGCCACCGAATCACCCGAATCCTGTGCGTCGACCCAGCTCCGAATCGACCGACCGCTGCAAAACCACCTTCAGGGAAGCAATCCCTCGAATACGAGAAAGGAACGACAATCCCCCCTGCAACTCCCATCGCAAGTTAATCTTTCTTGCAGTTGAGCCGGGCTTGGCTACGATGGCCGCGGCACGCCACATGCGTCGCACTAGTCCCATCACCTTGCTACTGGCGGCTTTGCTAGCCTTCGGCTTCCTGTGCTTCTTGCTCTCCCCATCCCCTTCCGCCGCCGCTGCGGCCGCCGGTAACGCACCCCCCGACCTCGACTCCTCACAACTCCGCCGCGAAGACGCGGCCGAGCACCCACTGTCACCCCCGACGAAACCCTTCCTCAAATCCCAGGCCGTCCGCGAGGATGGCCACGCCGCGGCGCCGCCGGTGGAACACTACAACCTGAACGCGCTGACGAGCACCAGCGACGCCGCGCGGAAAGGCGAGCGGGTGCTCATCCTGACGCCGCTGGCGCGGTTCTACCAGGAATACTGGGACAACGTGGTGGCGCTGAGCTACCCGCACGAGCTGATTTCGGTCGGGTTCATCGTGCCCAAGACCAAGGACGGCAACGCGGCGGTCGCGGCGCTGGAGCACGCGATCAGCGTCACCCAGAACGGGCCGGTGGCCGACCGGTTCGCCAGCGTCAGCATCCTGCGGCAGGACTTCGAGCCGCCGCTGCAGTCGCAGGACGAGAAGGAGCGGCACAAGCTGGAGAACCAGAAGGCGCGCCGCGAGTCGATGAGCCTGGCGCGCAACAGCCTGCTGTTCACGACGCTGGGGCCCGCCACCTCGTGGGTGCTGTGGCTGGACTCGGACATCATCGAGACGCCCCCCTCGCTCATCCAGGATCTGACGGGCCACGACCGCCCCGTCATCGTGCCGAACTGCTTCCAGCGCTACTACAACAAGGACGCCAAGAAGATGGACGTCCGGCCGTACGACTTCAACTCGTGGATCGATAGCGCCACGGCGCAGCAGTTGGCGGACACGATGGGGCCCGACGAGATCCTGCTCGAGGGCTACGCGGAGCTGCCCACCTACCGCAGTCTCATGGCCTACTTGGCCAACAAGGACTACCCGCAACCGGGGCGGGAGATCCGGCTGGATGGCGTGGGCGGGACCGCGCTGATGGTCAAGGCGGACGTGCACCGCGACGGGGCGATGTTCCCGGCGTTTCCGTTCTATCATCTGGTAGAGACGGAGGGATTCGCCAAGATGGCGCAGCGGTTGGGGTACGAGGTGTTTGGGTTGCCGGATTACTTCGTATGTGCTTCCCCCAGGCCCCGGACGACTTGTGGGAGCAAGTGCTAACTGATGCTAGGTATACCACTACAACGAGTGATGCACCACCTAAATGTGGGTGGATGCGCTGTGCGCTTGTGTCTTAATGAATCGGCGTCGGCTGGCGTGTGGCCAGAGGTTTGATTTCATGTTCGTACTTGTACTTATACCTATAGAGCCGCCAAAGGAAAAAAAAAGAAGATGAACAATAATTCAGATTTCTCTCCATAACTCTCTTATTCCCATCCACCATCAACAACATCATCACAACAAACTCCTCACCTTCTCACCCTTCTCACTCTGTATCAAATGCGCATTCACCGGCGTCAGAGCCTTCCCCCGCAGCAAAAACCCGAGCACATTCTCCATCGCCAACCGCTCAAAGCCCACATGCGTATCCACCGTGCCCCCGGCATTATGGCTGAGCATCATCACCCGCCGATCCGTCGCCAACCGCGGATGCACCGCCGGCTCCCGGGCGTGCACATCCATCCCCACCGCACTGATCCGCCCTTCCTCCAACGCCTGCACCAGCGCCTCCTCATCCACCAACCCGCCCCGCGCGATATTCACCAACCTCCCCCCTTTCTTGAACTTGCGGAGCGTGGGCCCGTCAATCACGGTGCGCCCCGCGAACGGCGTCGCGAGCACCACGCAGTCCGCCTGCCCCAGCACGCCGTCCAGCGTCTCGCTGAAGGTCGCGTTGATACTCCCCTCCACCTCGGGCGCCTTGCGCACGAGATCGTGGTACACGATCCGCATCCCCGGGAACGCGGCGCGGGCTTTCCGCGCGATCGTGAGCCCGATCGCCCCCAGGCCGACGATCCCCAGCGTCTGGGTGGAGGGGTTCCGCGCTGTGAGCGGCGAGTGCGTGTGCGCGTCGTGGAAGGCGACCGGCGAGAGGCTGTGCGCGGCCGCGTGCGACCACCGCAGGTTTCGGAAGACGGAGAGTATGAGGAAGAGCGTGGCGTCGGCGACGGATTCGCTGGACGCCGCGGCACCGTTGCAGTAGGTTATTCCTTCATCCAATCACCCAGTCATTAGTATTGGGGTTTGTGTGTTGGGGCACGGGGTAGGGTAGGGGAAACGGGGAAAGGGGGCAGGGAGGGGTGATTGAAGCGGAGCGCAATCCATATAACCCGTACTGGGCGGGGGGGGCATACCGTATCTCGCTAAACACTCCACATCCACCCAGTCATACCCGGCCCCCGCGCTGGCGATGATCTTGACCGTCTCCGGCAGCAACTCGATCAGCTCCTCGTCCCAGTTGCCCATCTCGCCGCCCGTGTTCCAGAAGGGCCGGAGGATCGCGTCAAAGCTGCCCCACCGGCGCTCCTGCAGTGCGCGCTTGAATTCCGGGCGGGCGCGCTCGGCGGTCAGGGGCCGGATCACGTCGAAGTTGGCGGCGAAGCGGGCGTAGAGGTCGTGGTTGTATTGGATGGGGTCGCCCAGGTGGAGGACTTTGGGTTTCGGCATGGTTGGATGTTTTGGGTGAGGGGTTTCTGGGGAATTTTTGCAAGGGAGGAGGGACTGGGTTGGTTGATGCTATGTGTTGTGTGTATGTGGGTTGTTGTTCTGCTTGTTCTTATAGAGGTTGTTGATGCTGGATGCAGGGAGTGTATACTTCATTTACGAACTGGGAAGTATTCCCCATGGGGAAAGTTAGTATCCGTGGAAGTGAAGATCAGACCCTACTTCAATAGCCGTCAAAGGCCGACTACAACTCCCAGCACAACTTCAATATCCGACGGCAATTAGCCGACTGCATTCCTATCCTATCATACATGATAGTGCTTCAACTACTGCATTCCGTCCAACACAATCACACAGCGTCAGCCGTACTCGCACCCTGAACACCACCGCCAACGCCGCCAACCCGGCCCGCCGCCAATCGCACCACCGACGCAATACTCGCACCCCCCAGGATATCAAACACGGCTATCTCCGCCTGCAGCTCCCGCGAAAACCAATTCCGGAGCTCCACCGCCGCCAGCGAGTCCACCCCGTACTGATGGATCGCTTTGTCCACGTCGATCTCGTCCACCGGCACCGACAGCATGATCGCCACCTTCTCCCGCGTCGCCTGGAGCGCAACCTCGACCGCCTCGCTCGTCGTCCGGGCCGCCGCGAACCGGGCCGCCAGGTTGGAGCTGCCGTGGCCCGACGCAGAAGCTGACGCAGACGCTGACTGTCCCTCCACAGGTGTCTCGAGCAAGGTAGATAGATGGCGGAAGAAGGGCCGTTTCATCCAGTCGGCCTTGGCGCGACCGGTCTCCGCGGTGCGTGGCGTGATGCCGACCGCGACCTGACTCTGTAGCGGCGACGAGCTCTTCTGGTTGCAATAGATGTCCAATAATCCGTGGAGGTCCGCCTCGGAGATCTCGTCCCACACGGTGTTGGCCAGGAACAGGTCGCGCTTGTCCGGGTTCTCGTGGAAGTATCCAGCCGACAGGAAGAGGCCCAGATCTAAAGAGACAGCGTGCTCGCCCTGGCTCACGCGGTACCGGGCCAGACCGTCCAGAAACGTGTTTCCTGCTGCGTAACTGGCATCAGTGAGGGGTCCGCAGATTCCGCTGATGGAGGAGAGCATGACGAAGAAGTCCATGCCTCGCGGGAGAAGCTCGTGCAGGTTCCAGGAGCCCTGAGCTTTCGGCGCCGTACAAGCCTTCCAGGATTCGTAGTCGAGACTTTCGAAGTTGCCGCTCCTGACAACCATTGATGCTTGTACGCAACCTTTGATCGGAGGCATCAGTTGGCGACATACATCGAGGACGACTCTCAGGGAAGCTCGATCCGTGATATCACACATTGGCGTGACGACTCGGGCACCCTGGCCCTCCAGGCTTGCCACCAACTCGCGTGCATTCTCGTTCTTCTGACCCGAACGTGAGAGGAGGACCAAGTTGCGAGCGCCGCGCTCCACAAACCAACTGGCTATACTTCGACCAAGGCCTCCCAAGCCGCCTGCAATCACATACGTGGCGTTGGGTTCAAATGCAAAAGATGGTGTAGTATCCAGAAATGTCATGACTTGCTCATCATCCCGAAGCTCCACCACTACCTTGCCCGAGTTTCTCCCACTCTGCAGATGGCGCAAAGCTTGCTCAAGATCTCCAACGCCAAACACCTGTAACGGTTGAGGAGTCTCCAAATCGCCTGCTTTGATCAATTTGAACACATCATCTGTCAAAGCTTGTTGAATCAACTGCGGGCGGTCAAACGCCATCTCGGCAAGGTCCACCGCCGTGAAGGTCACATTCTTTTCAAATTGCAACATTGGAAGCTTCGTATTCGTTAGGATATCGTTCTTTCCAATCTCGATGAATCGTCCAAATGGCGCAATGCACTCCCAAGATGCGATAAGCATTTCGCCGGCCAGTGAATTGAGCACAGCATCGACACCCCGGCCTCCCGTCAGGCGTTTGATCCCCTTGGCGAACAGTTTATTGCGGCTGGAGAAGATGTGATCCTCCGAGATATAATAGCGCTCCATAAGGAATCGTTTCTTCTCTTCGGTCGAAACAGTCGTGAAAACCTTGGCTCCGCAATACATAGCAACCTGGATGGCTGCCTGCCCGGTGCCGCCTGCGCCTGAGTGAATCAGGACTGACTCCCCTGCTTGCAGCCTCGCCAACCGCGTCAGCGTAATCCACGCAGTAGCGAAGGCCACAGGAATCGCAGCCGCAGTCACGAACGACATTGGCACAGTTTCGTCCGCGATCTTGACGACAGACATATTCTCACGCACACGAACGTAGTTTGCATAGCGACTCGGATGGAAGGCAACCACCCTATCACCAGCTTTGAACCGCTGGCACTGGGACCCGACACGGACCACAGTTCCCGCAAACTCAGCACCGAGCGTGTCGCTTTCCAGGCGGCCTAAGGCAATCAAGACGTCGCGGAAATTGAGGCTCACAGCTTTCACCTGGACCTCAACCTCGTCCGGCTTCAGGGGATCATGTAGAGATCTATCCTCGACAAACTGGAGGGTGTGCAGAAGACCTGGCGTGCCAACTTCGAGGCGGAGCGGTGGGCCTGCGCCGTATGCTCTGAGCTCTCTTTGCTGTGGTAGCTTCATCTTCGCGATGGTCTGAGAGATACCTCGAGCGGCGACCAAACGACCGATGTGGATCACCCCGTCGATCACTCTATACTCTGTGTCGACGTCCGTTGCTTCTGATGTGACGGTTTTGAATATCTTAGCAATCTGCTCTGCCTGGTGTAGGACCGTGCTTTCCTCTACGGATAAGGTTGTGATCTTCGCTCTGGACAATTCGCGAGCAAGAACACGAAATAAACCGTCAACAAGTCGAAACTGAGGCGAGGGTTCAAGGCCCCCTCCGCTGTCTACCCAGATGAGATTTGTCGTTGTGGTTATCAATTGTTGCAGGCCTTCATATTCTTCCGCTTCCATGTTGTATGTGAAAGGAAAGCCGTAGTCGAGGAGGGAGATGTCCAAGTTACCGGAAGAAAGGTCTCGTTTCTTGATATCCTCCAGACCTCCCTTCACGGCGCTGACTCCAGTCTGGTCAAGTAGCTCAGATAGCATATCCGCAAGCTCAACCTGACGGGGATTGGCGGTGTTGAGAACGATATTGACTTCCTTCTGTGTAATTGGCGCGGAAGGCTTGGCTCGAGCCATAACGGTCCTAGTCGCCTCCATATTCGTAACGGGAGACACGGCGCTCGCAACGATAAGCGTTCCTTCATGACATGAAGTATCGACGTAGTCATCTATCGCAAGCTCGCACCCTGAGAATCCTGAATCTTTCAACAAAGTCTCCCATCGATTGACATCAACACACGGATGACTCTGGCGGTAGGCTTCACTTGCTACTCAGGCAATCAGCGTGGCTCAGCACACATCCATTCAGAGAGACTTACAACGCCACCAACCCTCAAAGAGCCCGAACACAAAGCTAGCCCGACCCGGATCAGGATGCGTGATCTCGAAAAGTAGCAATTTCCCGCCCCTGTCTACATATCAGCATCTGCTCACATCTAGCCCACAAGTGACGTACGCTTTCAGAAGCTTCCGAACATTCTTCAAACTGGTTGTTAGATCGGCCGTTGCATGAAGAACCTAATGCATATCAATATCAGCACTCCACACCTTTGGTCGTGGACAGACACGCACCAGAAACGCAACAACCAAGTCGTACGATCCCGAACCAAAGCCTTGGGTCTCTGGATCCTGCTCAATATCCAACACACGAAAATTCATCCGCCGCTTTTCGGTCTCGAAGCGGTTTACGGCGTCTGGGAAGAACGAACTGGAGATGTCAGTGAAGTCCCATTGGGCATAGCGCGGTGCATTTTCCATATCCGGGGTCGCCAGCGCCTTGATGCAGAGCTCAGTCATTGCCCCAGTGCCAGCCCCGATCTCGAGGATGTTCATGCGAGGGTTCTTGTGAGCGAGCGCTTCGATGTATCGTGCGAGGGCTGTTGCCGCTGGAAGGCCGTACAACATCTCGGAATACACATCGGTAAGCAAATTGTCCTTGAAGAGATGAGGCAAAGGATCGTTGAGAATCTCCAGAAGGTTCTTGCAGAGAGTGCTCACGAGAAGGCCGCGCTTGCTGACGCTTTCAACCCGTTTATAAACCTCTGCTACGTAGGCCTCGTCGTCCATGTGATGCCGCCACTCGATTGAGCCGAAGTCCGACACATCGAGCTCCAGTAATCGTTTACGCTCCAGAATCCACTCAATGTAGAAAATCGTGTGAGGTGGTAGGCTGCTTTTGTCCATCTCACTGAGCGGATCGGCGTATTTGTTGATGCAGGTGGCAATCAGGAACTCCATATCCCGCAAATGCTGCACCGGGCCCTGAACTTGGAGTTCCTTTCTGCCAAACGCAGTCAGGAATCCGTGGTTGGTGAGAAGATCGGTGTCTGGCTTGTATTCGACGTGATGGCATAAATTATCGGCCTTGAATTGGTCTGAGGGAGAGACATTCTCTGGACTTGCGATTGAGGTCACTTTTAGTCCTTCCAAGTTTAATAGAACCTTGGATACGTTGCGGTCATATGCCGTCATGGTATACTGCGTGCTGCCAAGAGCAGACTGAACGGAAGTCGCATAGACCTTGATGAGTTCTGCCGAAGGATAGCTTAGTCCACCTGTATTGGAGATCCAGAGTCGGATGATGCTCGTGGGCACGGAGACGGGAATCGTTCGCTGTCCGGCGTCAGTGGCTAGCGCTGCCATCATTTGAACCACACCGTCTAGCGTGGTAGGGTGGATTGTATGCACGGGATAGACCTCTGATCCTGTTGTGCAGTCAGGCTTGAAGACCTTGACTTCTGCAATCATGGCTTTTTCATCGTTCAGCCTGGACACGTTGCCCTCAATGACTCTGAACATCGATCCATAGTAATACCCACAGTTGCGCAGGCCGTCATAAAATCTGCTGGAGTCTTCATGCGATGCACATTGCTCGCTTGCACGCTGGCAATTCTCAACAAGGGACGCCTGCCATTTAGCTTCTTCACCATCGCTGATGTTTGGCGTCTGCACATCGGACTCATAATGAGCTTGGATTGAACCTGAGCTGTTCTCAATCCACGATTCATTATTGTACGTGCAAACGCGGTACTCGAACCAGCCCGTTGCATCCTTGTTGGCACTTCCGACTCGCTTCAGGTAAACGCTCACCTCAACACCATCAGCATGACTTGGAATCTGCAAAGCCGACGAGAAGACCACGCCCTTGATGTCGAACCCTGCGATTCCCCGGCTCTGGTCCGCCAGTTGCTTAACTGCTTCGATAGCCATGACAACCATGCCGGCACCGGGATACAGGATGCTGTTGTTGATCTTATGATCCTCCACCCATGGCATCTCCGAAAGCCGTATGATGTTTCTCCAGCTGGCCTCCATAGGATTTCCATCAGGATCAGGCACACCTAGTAGTTCCGTGTGGCCGAACCGACGGAATCTGTAACCTTTGCTGATGCGGCTCTCGAACCAATATGTCTTGGAGTGGTTAAAGGGGTACTCCGGTAAATTGACGAGCACGCGACGATTGTGTTGCGGCTCAAGTTCACCTCCATTGTTGACTGAAAGCAGGTCAATCGGGTAGCCGCTACAGTGCAAGCGGCCTGCCCCGTGCATCACGCAGTCAACGGCAGAGCGACCACGGCGCAGAAGTGGAATGTAGGTGATTTGATCGTGCTTGCCCACGGCCTTGAGAATGTCTCCACAAGGACCTTGAAGGGCGGAATGAGGCCCAATTTCCAGGAGATGGTCCGGCGCGACATTGCGGCGATGACTTCCATCAAATCTTCGAGTTGATGTTGTTGATTGGGAACACAACTTTGAGACAGCATCGTCGAATAACACTGGCGATACCAGGTTCCTTACCCAGTACTCGGGCTTCGAAAGCTCCTCTTCCGAGATCCATGCCCCTGTGACGCTAGATATCATCACCGGCGGCTTTTTGGCCTTGGCTGGTCGTTCCAGCTCCGCTAACAGTTCTTGATATATGCCGGCAATCTCCTTCATCTGAGATGAGTGATATGCGACATTGACTGCAAGCTTTCTTGCAAAAACCTTCTTCTCGACTAGAATCTGATGCAGAAAGTCGATCTGGCTCGCTTTCCCGGAAATAGTGACGCTGGTAGGGCTGTTGATGCAAGCAACTTCGAGCTTGAGTTCACGGAAGTGAGAAGCCACGGACTGCAGGTATTGCTGCACTTCTCGGCTCGAAATACCCACAGCGAGCATAGCGCCATTCATACCACTGGCCAGATGTCTTGTGAATTGCCATGCAAGAGCGCGTTTACAGTATTCGTCCTTTGCGCCACCTTCTGGGATTTCTTTCCGGAACCGTCTGGAACAGCGTCAGCATATGAGCAGGTGTCATGAGAGCATGATGTTTCCGGGACCAACTTACTCAAAACAGGAAATATCAAACATGGGTTCGCTCTTCGCACGATCTTGACACTTTTCCCCGAATTGCACTGCCATTAGCGTAGCCAGAGCATTAGGTGCCATAGTACGGTACTTCCCCAAGATCCCGGTGAGGAAGCCTCTGTAGTACACAATCTTCAGGGCAGAACCTTTTGTGATTGCACCAGCGCAATAACTAGATTTTCCGCAAAATATTAGCTCAATTCACTGGTGGAGGTAATTCAAGGAATTGACTTACGCAGCTGCAATCTCACCAGAGGAATGGCCAACCACCGCACCAGGCCTGAGACCCCAAGATTGGAGGAGCTCTACTAAGGCAATCTGCAGTGCTGTGCAGAGTGGCTGTCCAAACGTCGGGTCGTTGACTCGAGAGTCAACTTCGTCTCTCTGCAACTCGTCTGCAAGAAAGGTGAGTACTCTGAAAAGCTAAGGTGCTCGGAAGCGTTCACCTAGAACATCCCACGCACAACCAAGCCCCTTCAAGTAGTTGCCCGAATCAATTAGACTAGTCTTGAAGACATCGTATCGATTTATCAGCTCACGGCCCATAGCATACCACTGGGCTCCTTGCTGCTTGCGGTTAGTTGGGCCTTCAGATAGTAACTGTAAGGGTACTCACGCCCGTGAAGATGAAGGCTAAATGTGGGTTTGGCTTGGAGCATGTAGCAGTGCTAATCCTCTCCATTGCAACGTGCAGGTCTTCCGCTGGCTTTGCAACGACAAAGGCCCTCCATGTAAGTTCGCTCCGCCTCGCACACAGTGTAAAGGCCAAGTCCTGTATGCCGGCCACCGTGGGTCGGTTCATGGCTTCCGTAGCAGCTACATACTGCCGCCACGACTGGGTAAGTCTTTTGATACCTGCTTCATCTGCTACAGACCACACTAGAACGGCACATTCAGATGTGGGAATCACAATGACATTCCTCTGAGTATTAGAAGAATCGGTGCCATTCTCAGTTTGACCATTTGCCTGTAGTAGGTGCTCTTCGTCGTGTAGCAAGGGAGGCTCGATGGCAGTCTGGTGACGTCCATCTTCGATACCGTGCATGCAAAAGGTGTTGTAAGCATCGTCGAGAACGACATGACTATTCGCACCACCAAAGCCGAAGGAATTGACAGAAGCTCTGCGTAGGCCTGGCGAGGGCCAAGAGATTGCATGCCTCAAGATCTTTATCTATGTTAGCAGAAATTAAGCTCGGGGAAGAACAAGTTCTTACCTTCAGATTAAGGTACTGCTCATCGATCTGGGGATTGAGTGTCTGCAAATTGCCACTGTTTGGCGGAATGATCCCTTTCTCCAAGATAAGAACTGCTTTGATTAGGCCCGCAATACCACTCGCTCCCTCTAGGTGGCCGATGTTGGATTTGACAGAGCCCCTATAGGCTGCATTAGACTGCAAACATTAGACTCAAGTTGCAGATCACTCACACGTAAAGTGGGTCGTCGGATGAGCGATAACCTTGAAAGGCTGATCCGATCGCCCTAGTCTCGATGGGATCGCCAACCGGAGTCCCTAGCCAATATTAGCGATATTATACCCCATGTGACCCAGGATATGCTCACCGGTGCCATGCGCCTCGAAGTATCTGGTTGAACGCATATCAAGACCGGCTTTCCGATAGGTGTCACGAATCAAGCGGACCTGCGCGTCTTTACTTGGCTGCAGGATCCCCGGAGTCTTGCCGTCCTGGTTGGAGCCCGACGACCGAATGACCGCTCTGACAGTGTCTCCGGCTGCAATGGACTCATCGAGACGTTTGATAATCACAGCACCGACGCCTTCGCCTCTTGCATATCCGTTGGCATGATTGTCAAAGCTGTAACAGCGGCTATCGCGGGACAGGAGCCCAAGGTTATCCAAGCCGATCGTCATCTCAGGGGCGAGTATGACGTTACACCCGAGGGCAATTCCCTATGTGAGAGGTCAAAAAAGGTTAGACTTACACCCATATCAAATGTGTTGTGGAAGGAGTAAGGTAGGAAGAGGGCTCACGAACCATCGTCGCATCACCGCTCCATAGTGACTGACATGCCAAATCCACGGCCATGAGACTGCTGGAGCAGGCAGTGTCTACGGTTGCGCTTGGACCTTGCAAGTCAAAGAACCAACTGATACGGTTTGCGATCATACTCTGGGAGCTGCCCATGGTAGCGGTCTTGGGAAGATTTAGAGTTTCCTTGGTCTGGATTGCATGATAGTCGTTGCAAAAGGAACCAGCTATCACGCTCGTCTTTGAACCGGCCACCTCGTTCATCGGAAGGCCCGCGTTCTCGAGAGCTCGATACACAGTCTCCAAGGCGAGGCGCTGTTGTGGATCCATGGCCTTTGCTTCGGTGTCGGAGATGTTGAAGAAAGGCGCGTCAAATGCCGCGAGATCTCGAGTGAGAAAGTGACCTCCTCTGCAAGACACACTATGCAACTTATCTCTGTTGGTGTTGTGATGGCCATCGATATTCATTCGGTCCGCGGGGAACTCGCTGGATACACATCGACCTTCAACCAGCATGTTCCAGAACGCATCTTGGGTCGTTGCATCTCCGGGAAACTGGAAGGATAGCCCGATGATGGCGAGCGGGGGGACCACGTTGGACGCCATGATGAAGAAAGCTACCTGAAAGATAAAATGTTATCACTTGCTGTACAGTCATGTATAGGGAGAGGCTGGGTGTCTTGAATCCCGGTCGACTTACCCCACTGCTTGTCAACTTGACGAAAGGCTTAGCAGTCTGAAGGGTCACATTGACTGTCAATCTTACGTGATGTGGGTGAGATGTCCAGAGTCATGATCTCATGAAGTGCAAGGAAAGGAGAAGACACGGCACAGATGTGTTCAAGTGAATCAAGTGGGATCGTGTTCGCTTGGGTTGGCACGGCCTGGCTTTGTTATCCCTCCCGTCTCTTCCAGGTAGTAACACCGGTGAATTTTGAGGGATTACTACCCATCTGGGCTGTTTAGCATGTGTAATTCATGACTCCGGCTGTCAAAACCGGTCCATTCACTGGAATGGAGACAAGGCTGCATGGCCCAAATCGACATTAGTGCAACGAGCTTGCATGACTCGTGGGAGGATCGGGGATCATCCCCAGCCCGAAACAGATAGCCGAGTTCTGTTCAAGGTTCCTATCACCGAGTGACAAGACGATTCTTGAGAAAGGCAATATAATCAACTTGCCGTGTGGTCCTCTCCTCCTCCTTTCACTTGCTTCCGGGCGGGGAGTTTGTCAAGTTTGCTATCTTGCGAAACAACAACTTTCTCTACTCACACGGTCCTTCAGCATGCACATTCTTTGGTATGTCGACTAGATATCAAAAAGCCCACTACCTTACTCGCTTCATATACTCACATGAAGCCAGTCTACACGGAACCGGCTCAAACTCTCGAGTAGGTCATCTCACATCCTCATCACGCCCCAAATCAAAACCAGCCAGGCCAGCTGACAGCCTCAGGTCTTCGAGATCCAAACCGCAGCCATTCGGTACGAACTCGGAGATAACCACACCTACGACTTCATCGAAGGCAACATCCCTGCCCCAATGCAGCCAGGTAAGCCCCATTCCCCCTTCTCTTCCTCAGCACCAGCCTCCATAAGCCAGGAACCAAACGTGGTCGCAGGGATCGAACTCATCGCGACCAAGGACGAGCCGATGTACGCTTACTTCGACGAGAAGAACCCGGAAAGCGGAGTCGCCGCCTACGGACACCTGGAGGAGCTGCTCTACCACGAAGGGCCCTACGACGGCGTCATCGCGTTCAGCCAGGCAGGCACGTTGATTCTGACCTACCTCGCGCATCTCGCCAAACAGAAGCCGGGCCGCCCCCTGCCCTTCAGGTTCGCCATCATCCTCTCGATCACCCACCCACCCCTGGACTACGGCGCCATCCAAAGCGGGGAGATCCGGCCGATAGACCTCGGAGCCCACCAGGATGTGGTCCGCATTCCCACGGCGCACATCTGGGGCTCGCAGGATCTGGCGGCGGGCGAGATTGCGTTGACAAATACCATCTGCGCGGCCGGGGTGCGGTGGGTGTATGTGCATGCACTAGGGCATGACATTCCCCGGGCCGGGGCCAGGAGCGATGTAACCCAAATTGTGCACGTCATTCGCCGGGTCATCGATGCCGCATCTAAAGCAGAGTAACTAGGACTGCACTGCACCTATTGTAAAGTACCACTAGTGGATGTAGATCATTTAGTTGTGACACGATTTTGTTTGCTTCTCGACTGGAAAGAAAGTGACATGCAAGGTCCCGGTGAATCACCACGTATTCACTCCTACCCGGTGTGTGCAGGGTCGTGCGGGTCTGATTTCTTTTATCAAGAATGATCTAGTAGCAATGTAAGCTAAGCCTCTGACTGAACGCTGGGCGGATCCGCCCAGTAAGGTTCAATGATCGATGATCTCAAAGAGTCCTTTCTTTTTGTTGTCAGGTATCCAGCTGAGTACCGTAATCGTACCCTTATATGTGGATGATTCCCAGGCACCTATCTGCTTTCCTCGCGGGAATCCCGGTTAGCACTGCAGCAACATCAACCCACCAAGTCCCAGAGCAATGGATGTAAATCACAAAACCCATAACTCGGTCCCCGAATCGCACGCCTTGCCATCCATGAGTGCCTCGTCGGCCGAAGAACAGAACAACGAGGTCTTTGGGCAGCCGAGGTACATGCATGGCGCTCGACTGTGGTTCGCTGGCGGCGGGTAAGTTTTAATCGATCTGACAGCATCACCGAACATTACTATCACTAACTACCTTGCCTACATGTCACAGTATCGCGCTGAGTCTATTCCTCGCCACGGCTGAGATCACAATCATTAGTACATCACTAGTCACCATCAGCCGTCACCTGGATGGCTTCGATCAAAGCACCTGGATCATCACCTCCTACCTGCTGGCGTTCGCGGGCTTCCTCACCGTCTGGGCCAAATGCAGTCACTTTATTGGGCTCAAGATAACGATTCTAATCTCACTAGCCATCTTCGTGGCCTTCTCAGGAGGCTGCGCTGCTGCCCAGACCATGAGTCAGCTGTGAGTTTAGTTTCCCTGGTCACCCTCCCCCCCCCTCCCTGCCACACCTGGTCTGATTGCTTTCGCACAATAGCATTATCTGCCGCGCCTTCCAGGGCATCGGGGGATCAGGGGTCTTTACCTCGTGTCTTTTTGGCCTGATCTGCCTCCTTCCCCCTGCCAAGTTTGACATCGCCAGTGCAGCGGGGTCAGGTGTGCTGACGCTGGCGCTGATCCTGGGCGCATTAATTGGGGGTGGCATCAGCACATCCGGCGCCTGGCGTTGGATCTTCCTATTCAAGTAAGTGAGCTATGCGAGCCATGTAGGTCTGTGTCGACTGCCTCTAGTGCTGACATGCCTTGTTGCTCTAGTGTTCCGGCCGGGATAGTGGCATGGGCAACCATCTGGATCCTGGTTCCCAACGACTTTGAGAGTTCCCGAAAGGCCGGCGACCAGATTCATGGGCTCTGGAACTTCCTGACCAAAGCAGACACCGTTGGCTGCCTGCTGCTGCTCTCCTTCTCCGTCTTCTTCGTGGCCGCCTTCGAGGAAGCGAACATCCGGTACGCGTGGTCGTCAGCCGCCATCATCGCCATGCTGACGATCTCGGGCGTGTTGCTGGTTGGGTTTATCGCATGGGAGTGGTCCGTGGCCAATCGCAAGTATTGGGGATTCGAGCCGATTCTCCCTTGGAACATCCTCCGTAACCGAGTGTTGCTGGGAGCCATCCTGTGAGTCGAAGCCCCCCTCCCGCTCCTCTTGCCCCCACTCGTTCATCGCCTGACAACACACCCCTCCTCCCAGGGGCTGCTTCCTCACAGGACCTGCGGTCACAATCCTGTACATCGAACTCCCGCAGCGCTTCCAGACCGTCAACCACAGCACCGCGATCGGCGCCGGGGTGAAGGTCCTCACGTTCGGGCTGGGCTCGCCCGTCGGCGCGGGGATTTGCAGTCTCCTGGCCGGGCGCCTGCGCACTCCGTTCGTGTATCTGGCGGCGGCAGGGTCCGTGCTGCAGATCGTGGGGGCCTTCCTCCTCTCCTCGGTGCCACCCACCGTGGACATCTGGCCGGGCCAGTACGGATACATGGTGATCACGGGTCTGGGGACAGGGATTTCCATCGCGGCGCTGTACATGTGTGTGCCGGTGGTGGTGACCACGGATCAAGGTTGGTGTCCTCTAGCCGGAGCTCTAGTGCTTACCACGCACGTTCAATAGGGTCAAAATGCTTTTCTCCGCCGCTAACTAGCTGACTTCGCTTTGCGCAGCCACTGCCATGGGCCTGACGCTCCAAGCGCGCATGATTGGGGCCTCCCTCGGCGTGGCCATCGTCAACAGCATCTTGATCGATTACGTCAAGGGTCATCTTCCGGCAACCGAGGCAGCAGCAGCGGATCCGAACCTGCTCTCCGGGTTTCCGACGGCGACCCAGGAGGAGATTCGCAAGGTCTACGCGGCGGGGTACAATCGACAGATGTACGCGGTTGGGGCGTTTGGAGCGGCGCAATTGATCGCTGTTGCCTTGATGTGGAAGAGGGAGCAAGTCCGGTTTGTCAAGTGAACGGGGCCACTCCACTCCCCAATCATCTCATTGCACTTCACTTCGATTCAAATTCTGTTGACGCGATTGAGCCTACTAGTGCAGCTAGCTATGTAGGTCTGGCGTCGAAGCAAAGAACCTTCCCGGACCAGAGCAACGCATTCGGACTCTCCTTGAACCCTGTATGTTCCTGCTCGCTTGCGTCTTTCCCGTGACTGCCGGAGTCTGGGGTTCCGCACGCTACATAGCTACAGGTCATCACTCGCATTCAGGCCGCGAAGCACTCGCCCGAACTACTTCCTACCTACTAGGTCACGGACGCATCTGTGCTTCTGGATGCCAGAGCTCTTGTTATCCTCTATGTAATGTTGGCCGTTTGCTGAAAAGAGAAAAAATACAAAGAGAAAGGCCTCTCAAAATTTCAATTCTAGTTACCCTAATGCTAATGACATAAATCACTGCCATCTAATCAACAGAAAAAGAAAAGAGAAAACCATAAAAAGGCCACACCTGGTGATTTCGATGTTTATATCACTCCGCCCGCGCGCAACGCCCACCGCACCAACGCCGCAATGCTGCTCGTCACAGCCTCCGTGCGCGGGATCTCATGGCCGCCGCCGTGGTCGTACATCCTGCGTTTCGCCGGGTCGCAGGTCTGCGACAGCTGGATGCCGGCCGAGAGCCGCGGATCGCGCGCGCCGTACACGTGCACCGTGGGGATCGAGAGCACGGTTTGCGACGGGGTGATCTCCCGCCGGATGTCCTCCTCCGACTCGTTCGCGCCGCCGTGGTTCCCGTTCCACCGCGAGGAGCCCTGCAGCAGGATCGCCGAGGCGTCGGCCTGCGCCGCGAGCGCCTTCCGCGTCAGGATATCCTTCTCCCACACCTGCGGGGCGATCTCGTAGCCGACCTGCTCCATGATGCGCAACGGCGAGCCGGCGCAGATGAAGATCGCGGCCTTGAAGGGGAGGGGTTGGTCGGGCGTCTCGGAGAGTTGGAGTAATGCGAATGTGGACGCTACCGCGGCGCCTTGGGAGAAGGTCATGACGGCGTCGTAGGGCCCATGCGTCGTGATGTGTTGCTGCAGCCGCTGGCGGCAGGTCGCGATCTCGTCGACCGTGTCGTTCTCGTACCAGGAGTAGTAGGGGGGTGCGTAAAAGAGATCAACTCCCGGGGCGGGGTCGGTCGTGTGGAAGCCATCGACAAAGTCCCATTCGATGTTCAGTTCCGACAAGCGCGAGCGTAACGCCGCTGGTTTGCTCCTTGAGTTAATGAAGCGATTCTAGAGATTAAGGTAGAGAATTGGGGCTGTTAGACAAACTGACCTGTTTGAGACTTGAAGATCGCACCACTGGTGCCTTTGCCATGTAAGCAGAGAAACTTCATCTTTATCTGTTGGTTTGAAAGCAGCAGTGCAGCAGGAGAAAGGCACAATCACGATACTCGCAAGCAGGTCAAGTGAGGGGCAGAGAGAGTTGGAGAGACTGCAAGGCTGCGAAGGTTACGCGAGTCGGCCCCCACCACTGCACGACCACTGCTGCAGGTGTTTGTTGGCGCTCCTGTCGACCTCCGGCGAGGGGATCAATCTGCTTACTGCAATTGGCTCCGAGTCCGAGACCGAAGGACTCCGATTGCAGTCGGCGACTTCGAGCACAACTATGGAGTACGTTGTGGATCATCTTAGAGAAGGTATGAGCGTGGATTGCACTGTTGTTCGTTAGCCAAGTATGCTGACATGATTGTATAGAAACTCCGCGGGGTATTTGTAGTCCGAAGGCGTCTTCTGGGCGGTGGGCTGAATTGGAACTGATGGTCATATCCCGGCAGATATATTTCAGGTACAATGTAGGTCCCCCAGAGGGTTTCAGAGTCTAGACTTAATGTTATCCATCTGAATGCTGATATGATTTTCTCAGAGTCACACATTGCCAGAGCTTCAAGACCATGAGTCTTAAATTGTTTGTAGAATTGATTAAATATTCGTGTGCAGTTCATGGATTGAGAGAGGAACTGAAGCTCCAACGCCGGCGTGGTTGGCATGGATAGACCAATCAGCGGACAGCCCGCCGTCATGCGACTCCGCGGCCAAAAAAATCCCAGCGGGAGCTGCGAACAGAAGCTCGCCTTCCGGTCCAGTTCAGCTTCCACTCGCAGCTTAGTACAACACAACAACGACCTTCCCTTCTGCTCTTTCTTCAACTATCGTTTGTGACTCCTACACCACTCAATCAAGCTACCATGGTCGCGCCATCTGCTACCCTGTCCGTTCTGAACCGCGCCGACGGGTCGGCTTCCTACCAGTGTCCCTCGACCGGCTCCAATATTCTAGGCTCCGTCAACGCACCTGTCGAGCTCCCCGGTCGCCGTGACGCTCTCAAGCCCGAAGATGCGACCATCGAAGTCTTCGTCAAGCCGGGCACTGCTCCCGCGGGAGTTGGAGAACGCTATGTGGAGGGAATTCTCAAGACACTGCTGGGGCGAGTGATCCTGGGACGCGAGAAGGGCTATCCGCGTCGTGGGGTGGTCATCACGCTGGCTATCATTGGTGGTGAGAGCGTCGGTAGAGGGGATCCGGTTCGTACTTCTTACCTCCATCAACAGACAGACGCTCTATTGGCTTGGTGGTCATCGACTAACGCAGTGTGATCTGCTTCTTCCGTCCAGTATCTGATTCTGCTCCCCGCGCTCCTCCACACTGCACTTCTGGCTCTCTTATCAGCATCCGTGCCTTTGTCGATGACCTTCTCTGCCACGGTCCTGGCCGTTGACGAGTCGGGGCAGATCCTCCGGGAACCTTCCGCGGAGGATGCAGCCACCGCGCAGTCCGTCCACGTCCTCGCTTTCTCCTCCAAAGGTCATCTGCTGCTGAATGAGAGCCAGGGATCATTTGACTTTGACACGTGGGACAAGGTGCGCCAGCGCGCCTCGGCCATCTGCCATGGAACACAACTGGTCAGCGCTGACGGCGATGTTGCAATGGCGGAGGATGTTGATGGCCGGCCACTGGAGGGAACCCTGCGGGAAACTGTCGAGGACCAGGTCTATCGCGACTACAACTGGAAGATCAACGCTGCTTGATCATCGGGCCTATAACGCTACACCGGAAAAATTGCCGATGCCCGTGGATCGGTGTCCGCAGATCGATCGCTATTTAAGAAGATTCTCGAATACCCTGAGCTTCAGACTCGATTTTCCCGAACATGTTGACTACCGACGATTTCTCTCATCGGAGCCGTTCTCACCCAGTATCGCAGGATCGGCTTTTCTAACGGCACTATTTTCGGCGGCCTAGTGTGCACGGGGCGTCTTGGCGCCCGTCGCAGACAGCAGGTTCTATGGCATTCCATCACGTGGATACGAAGAAGAAACTTGCGCAGGAATCGTCAAAAGCACCGGCGCCGATTATTCAGGATCCTCCGACCTTCCAACTTTCCAAGGCGCGGTGGGGGGGGGAGGTGCATGGATTTGTCCGAAAGTGGAACATGGTGCTGTGACAGGACATCCATTCAGGCAAAAAGCCACGGTGGGGGAAGGGGTGCTGCAGTGAGCTGGGTTCGTATTCTTAGCATCTGACTGGGCTGGATTCAAGAGATGCATGTGGAGCACGCGGAGTTTAGTCAATTGCGAGGTAATCACAGACACATCGCACTGTAGAGAATTTATCCACTCTTGTAAAGAAAAGGAGCATCGCATTGCAAATGAATTGTTCGCAGGGTGAGCTACCTAGTTGGAGATAAGACAAGGTACACGCCTCGTTACACATGGGGGGATCTCCGCTTATCTCCAGACAGCGGTAGTGAACAAAAATAGTTACAACATTGCCTGCAGTGTAGAAATTGCCTTGTCAGCGTGTTGTGAGAGAGTGCCGGTTACGGGGTTACAGAACCGCCCGACTTGGCAGGGAAACCAATCCATGATATGATTACAGGTGACAGATGACACTAGGTTATATTCCCTGGAAAGATGACACGAGGGAAATTGCTTGTGGAAGCGCATCGAAGGCGACACTACTCCGTAATGTGGGGAGAATTAACTACCCACAGACACTGCAGAAAGTTCGTTGGATGGTGTAGCGTGTGCACTGTAGCGTGTCACTCCGCAGGTTCTACAGACTGACTTTACCCCGTCCAAACCCCGTTACTTCCGGACTCGGCCTGGTTTTTCCATCCCGTCCCCATATCAGTAATTCAGTATTATTGTTCCATTAGACTACCAGATTTACTAGTGATTGTTCTAAGACAACCCCCCCCCCTTCCCTCCCATTCAACCCACTTTATCTACTCACCTCTTCCCCCTCCCCCAAAGCCTCTGATCCTCTTTGCGACACCTGTCATTTCTCAGCTGTTCATGGCGTCCTCTCCGTTAGACCATGGCCCTATGAGTCTCTCCCAATCATCTCCTAGATCTTCTTGCGCCACGATCCCTCCTTCAGACCCGACTTGCTTGTCCTCACCCTCCGCGGCCCCACCACTATCAGAATCTCCGGTGCGCCCGCCTGTCCAGCGCTCTGCCACCGTTGGCGCCCTGCTCCTGCGCGATTATGCCCTGAATATCGATCCCTCCGAGACCACGAGCGACATCCATACCGATCATTCGACTTCCGGGCCGCCCGAGTGCCGTCGCGAGACTCGCCGTGCGTCGGAGATTATCCGCGAGGAGTCCGTAGTGCCGTCGCTTCCGTCGCCTTCGTTCCTCCACCTGCGAAAGACCGCCGCCTTCTCCGGCCACCAGAGGAACGCATTATCGAGTGATTCCATCCCTCGTCAGACCATCCTTAAAGCGCTCGCCTCCCGACCGTCCATTTCCGCGCAACAGAACCCCAACATGCCGCTGGCGGCGTCTCTGGGGCTCCTCCCTTCCAACTCCCCCAACCCCAACCCCAACCCCAACAACTCCTCCGACGAGCCCACGCGCCGCGCCTCGATCAACTCCTCCTCTCAAAAACTGTCCGCTGCCCTATCCAACCTACAACTCGGAGCCTATCTCGACCGGGCGGCCCCGTCGGCGCGATTGGCCCTGCAATCGCCCTGCTTCTTCCACCAACGCTTCGACGACGCCGTCAACATCCAGAAAGTGCTCGAGGAGATCACCGATGACGAGTGGCTGTCTCACTCGCGGTTGGTGCAGACCGCGACGGGCGTGCGGGAGGTGTCCAAGCAGCTGCAGCGCCGACCGATCAAACGCGCCGTCAAGACCGTCATGATCGTCACCAAGGCGCGCGACAACAGCCTGGTCCACCTCACGCGCGAATTGGCGGAGTGGCTGCTCTCGACGCCACGCTACGGGAACGAGATCGGGGTCAACGTCTACGTGGACGCGAAATTGCGCAACTCCAAGCGGTTCGACGCGCAGGGCCTCCTCGAGAAGGACCCGCGGTACCAGGAGATGCTCCGCTACTGGACGCCCGACCTGTGCTGGTCGTGCCCGGAGCGGTTCGACCTCGTGTTGACGCTCGGGGGTGACGGCACGGTGCTGTTCACTTCCTGGCTGTTCCAGCGGATCGTGCCGCCGATACTCTGTTTCTCCCTGGGCAGTCTGGGGTTCCTGACGAACTTCGAGTTCGAAAACTACAAAGATCATCTGAACGCCGTCATGGGCGATGTGGGCATGCGCGTCAACCTCCGCATGCGGTTCACGTGCACCGTCTTCCGGAAGGACCGGAGCAAGGGCGCCGAGGCCGGGGCCGTCGAGGAAGGGGAGCAGTTCGAGGTGCTCAACGAGTTGGTCATCGACCGTGGCCCGTCTCCTTATGTGTCTAACCTTGAGCTCTACGCGGATAACGATCTCCTAACCGTTGTCCAAGCCGACGGCTGCATCTTCTCCACTCCTACAGGTAAGCCTGACCTTCCCCCACCCGCTCGCCAAAGTATGTCGCGCCGACCTGAAAACTAACTTGTGACACAACAGGCTCAACCGCATACTCCCTCTCAGCCGGAGGCTCCCTCATCCACCCCTCCATCCCTGGCATCCTCCTCACCCCGATCTGTCCGCACACCCTCTCCTTCCGGCCCATGGTCCTCTCCGACACCTCCCTCCTCCGCATCGCCGTGCCCCCCGGATCCCGCTCGACGGCGTACTGCTCCTTCGACGGCAAAGGTCGTGTGGAGCTTCGACAGGGCGACTACGTGACCGTCGAAGCGAGCCAATACCCCTTCCCGACGGTGGTGTCCGGCAGCGGGGAGTGGTTTCAGAGCGTGCAGCGCGCGCTGCGGTGGAACACGCGCGGGGCGGTGCAGAAGAGCTGGTCGGCGGCGGTGCTGGACGGGGCGGACGAGTACGGCGAGGAGGGCGAGGACGAGGAATGGGACATCGACACCGACGCCGGGCTGGGCTGGACGGACAGTGGGCTGGGACCCAGTGAGGACGGGGACGCGGGGTCCACTAGTCCGATGAAGCGGCAGATGAGCATGCTGAGCATGTAGCTGCGTCTCCTTATGTCTTACTCCTCATTCTCTCATGGAGCGAGCCCACCGGCAGAGAACGGTGACATTTGAGTTTCTTGGTTATTGGGCGTTGGTTATACTTTGGTCAGACAACGGGATACATACGGACCAATTCCTTCTCGGGGTTTATTTCTATCGGTGCCAGAGCGAATGTGGTCTGATTGATATAGCATATATATTATAGACTTGGGATTAATTTCTTTGCTTGTCCCGAAGGGCGGGCAGAGATTGATGAATGCATAGACTTTAACAGAGTCCCCATGACTGGGAATTCCCCCTTTGCTGACAAGATCTAAGACACTGCATATATACTCAGAAGCTCTATAACCAGCTCTCAACCCATCCGATCATATACTCTACACCCCCGATCCTCAACCTAACCCCAGAGCCAGACGGACTCCACGGTAAATCACCAATCACAGCACTCAGCCAACAACCCCGCCAACTCCTCCAGATATTTCTTGTCTGTCTCATCAAAACCCGAAGGCTCCGTGCAATCGACATCAATAATCGCGACCGTCTACCAACAAATCCCGGTTAGCCAAGTTCCCACCCTCAACTCCAAATCCGACCCCACCCCCAGAACCAGAGAGAATCTTACCTCCCCACCCACAAGAATCGGCACGACAATCTCACTCCGACTGCTCGCGTCGCAGGCGATATGGCCCGGGAACTCCAGCACGTCCGGCACGACGACGGTGGCGCGGTCCTGCGCGGCGGTGCCGCAGACCCCCTTCCCGAAGCGGATCTCCTGGCACGCGGGGCGGCCCTGGAAGGGGCCGAGGAGGAGTTTGGGTTGCACGGTGGTCGCACCGGCGGCGGCGGCGGTGGTATCCTTGGACAAGGCCGGGAACTTGTCGCTGCGGATGTAGAAGCCGGCCCAGTTGACCGACGACGAAGGGGCGGGGAGGGCGGCGTAGGCGTGCCAGAGGAGGGAGGCGACGTTGGAGAAGTTGCTGTTTCTTTTAGCATCTTCCTCGCGGGAGGTGGAGGTGGAGGTGGTGGTGGAGGTGGTGGTGGAGGTGGAGGTACCTGACCTGTTGATAGGTTGTATGGTTAGTGAGGTTTCGATTCAATGGGGGGGAAAGGGGAGGCAGTACCCAGTTGCGCTGGTCGTAGACCAGGCCGCGGGCCTGTTCGAGGACCTGCGTGTAGACCTCGTCTTTGGAGGCGTTGGGGCCGAAGAAGGAGGAGTCTGCGTGAGGCTTGAGGGCAGTTAGTTTATGCTTAAGGTTGCGCAAGGCGTTGGGAAAGGCGGGATCGAAACCATGGTGAGGGTCTGGAACTGCACGACCGTTATGCTGGTGGAGTGTGTTTTGGTCAATTGACTGTGAATGAATGTACAGCGATGACGCTGCAGCAGAGATGAGTGAGGGGAAAAGAAAATCCCAAGTGGGGATTTTTGGAGTGCCGAGCCTGAGGAGTCCACGCCCACTTGCCGTATTAGGCAAGTCCTTCCACGGACCCCCTCGGACGGCATGGCTTATCGCGATAACCACCGTTGTGATCTAGAACTATAACTAGAACTATAACTATCGCTTCAACTGTCCATCCAGCTACCTTCCCGACTTCAATTCACCCTCAATTCCACCGTCACAATGCACCTGACCTCCTCCCTCCTCGTCGCAGCAACAGCAACGGCAACAGCAGCAGCAGCCCGAGAAATCATCTTCCCGCCCATTGCCGCCGTCCACAACCACCCCTCCAGCCAGTACGCCTTCCAGAATGACATCGACGTCAACAAAATCGACATTGTAACAGGTAGCCAATTCTCCGGACTCACCACCTTCGCCAATCTCCCGTACGCGAACTGCTTCGTCGAAGATGCGTCACTAACATACGATATCGCCTTCCTCGGCGCACCGTTCGACACCGTTCGTCCCCCCTCCTCGGCGTCTCCTTTCATTGCCCACCAACTCACAAAACCAGGCAGTGACAGGCCGCCCCGGCGCCCGCTACGGTCCCCAGGGCATCCGGCTGGGCTCGCGCCGCCTGGGCGGCTACGACATCTACACGGGGGAGAACGTGTTCGCCAGCTGGGCGAAACTGGTGGACTGCGGGGATGCGCCGTTGACGTGGTTGGACAATACGGTGGCGCTGAAGCAGTTGGATCTGGCGCATAAGGTTCCCTTCCGTTGATCCCCTCAAAGCAACAAAGATGAAGGTGGACTGATCAAATGATGTGGTAGGTCGTCTCCTCGCGCGGCACCAACACGACGACCAAAGGCCAAGTACCGCGCATCATCACGCTGGGCGGGGACCATACCACGACGCTGTCAGCGCTGCGGTCGACGTACGAAAAATGGGGGCCTGTGTCGGTGATCCATTTCGATAGTCATATCGGTATGCCTATCCTAAATCACCAATGATAAAGTAAAACACATAAAAAATGGAGCAAGCTAACATCAAGGTACGGAATCTAGATACATGGGACCCAGAAGCACTAGGTACATCCCCCCTCCCCTTTCGCCCACTCTCTTGTCAACACAACCCAGCAAGAACTAATTCCAACAAACCCAGGCGGAGGAATCTCTCACTACGCGTTCGTAACCGTGCCCCTTCCCCAACACACCCAACCCCCTAACCGAAACCCAGAGGCGTCAACCACGGGACCTTCCTCCATCTCGCGCACGAAGAGGTAATCCATCCCCCTTCAGCCCCCCCACCCCCCCCCCCCATCACTCTCTCCCCCCTCACTCAAGAACCAACTAACAAAGACAAGGGTCTTATCCGCAACACCTCAATCCACGTCGGCATCCGCGCGCCCGTCACCCGCCCGCGCGGCGCCGACCTCCGCAACGACCTCCGCTGCGGCTTCGAGATGATCAAGGCGCGCGACCTCGACCGCCGGGGCGTGAGCGGGGTGATCGAGCAGATCAAGGCCCGCGTCGGGGACAGCCGCGTGTACATCTCCGTCGACATCGACGTGCTGGATCCGGCGTTTGCGCCTGGTGCGTACCACCCCACTACCCTTCCTTCCTTCCACTTCTCTTCCGTCCAGTAAAGCAAGGTCCCCAAGAAAAAAGGAAGGGTAAAATAGAAAACTCGGTCATAGTCCAATACTGATTTTTCTTGGGATCGACAGCAACCGGCACCTCCGAACCAGGCGGCTTCTCGACCCGCGAGCTCCTCTCCATCCTGGACGGGCTGCGCGGGTTGCCCGTCATCGGCGCGGACGTCGTGGAGGTGGCGCCCATTTATGATTCGGCGGGCGAGACCACGACGCTGGCGGCGGCGGAGGTGGCGCGGGCGGTGCTGGCGCTGATGATCGCGGTGCCCGTTGAGGGGGCACCGGTTGAAATCGGGGTTTAAGCGCTTGCGTCACGGTATACATATGGCCAGGGAAGACGCGATTGTCGCTTAGATATAAAGATAAAGAGACAGCACTGCGCCGGGAATTTAAGTCATGCAGGTGGCGCAGGTGGCCTATATAATATACGAGTGTGGGGTAGAGCATTGCATGACATAGTTATCTCTGGTGTCGATATCATAGTGAAACCGAAACACTGAACGAAATCTGAGCGAAGGATCTATACTTTTTCTGAGGTTCATCATGTCAGCTACAGTTTCATACACTTGCTACACAATATGCGGTAGACTTGAAACAACACCCTGCACCTCCCAAACCACCCATAACTACAGCATACAACCAGACAAGAGAGTATAGAACGAACCCAAAGAAGAATCTATTCTCGACCCCAAATCCCCAATCCAGCTCCCAAAATCCGGATCCCCAAACCCCATAACCGGAGACAATAAATACATTCAGAATCCTAAAACCCTCGCTAACCAAGAACGCCACCCTTTTCTTCCTCTCTGCCTTCCCTCTTGTCACGCAATCACCACTCCACTCCCCCCAAGAATAACCCAGATATCACCACGAAAAACTCTCCTCATACAGATCCACCCTCAACCCAGCCCCACCCCCATCACCAGCACCCTGACACTCCCTCACCGTCCGCCTCACATCATCCCCCATCGCCCCGGGCCCACAGATACTCACCGCCATGGCACCCACCTGGCGCGCCATCTCCGCCCGCAGTATCTCGTCGAAGCAGGGTTTACCCGTGTGGATGGCCACGGGGACCGAGGACGGGGCCACGCTCGCCCAGGGGGAGCATTCCACCAAAAAGTCCTCGGGGCTGCTGGTGTCGGAGCGCGTGGGGCTGGCCTCGCTGCCGCTACTGGTCGTGCTGCCGATACTCCCCGCCGAGGCGGCGATTTTGCTCACGTAGATTTGGATGCCCAGGAAGAACTCGGGAAACTGGAAGTAGGATTCGCGTTTGCGGAGGGTGGCCATTTGCAGGGCGGGGTGGTTGAGGAGGGAGGTCATCCAGGGTTGGATCCAGGAGAGGTGGTCTTTTTTTTTTCTTGTTAGTTGGATGGAGAGAAGGGGAGGAGGGAATGAAGGGAAGGGTCAAAGAAGGGCACGCACCTAAACTCCTCACTACCCAGACCAAGGTCACGCGGCGGACCGCCTGGGTCTGCGAGGTGAGGTTGGTTACGAATTCATGGAGGTACGACATCGGGTGGGTGATGCCGATGCCGCCGGCGATCAGGAGGACGGTGCCGTATGAGGCTAGGGAGTGGAGGCCGCCTATACACAGTAAGTATGAATCACGCCGATGACACTGTAGGACGAGAAGGTGAAGGTGAATGTACCGAACGGCCCCTCCGCCAGCGCGGTCGCTTCGAAGCTCCCGTCGCAGGATTTGTGCACTTTCGACAGTAGCTTCCCCGTGAACCCGTCGCGGCGCTTGATCAGGAACGACATGGTCGTCTGCTGCGGCCCACCGAGTAGCCGGTTGATCGAGTCGTTGGAGCTCCGCTTCTCGGTCGGCAGAATGCTGCGGTCCGAGGAGGTCCAGGCCACGGAGAAGGGGTGCGAGGTCCACAGCCCCAGCGAGGGCAGGTACAGGTACATGTACTGCCCCGCCTTGAAGGTCCAGGGGCGGGCGAGCGCGACGTCCACGCGGGCGACGTCGCCCGGCAGAAGCTCCACGGTGGCCGTCGTGCGTTGCTTGCCGACGTTGCGCCAGAGGATGATGCCCAGGCGGGTGGCTCGCTAGACACAGCAGTGTTAGCTGGAATAGTTCTTGGAGAACAGTTGGAGCACTTCAGTGCGAAGAGGATGGCTTACATCAAAACCCCAGAGAATCAACGTGACCAACAGCGCCGTTTGCTGCGACATGCCACGCAGATGGTACCAAAGCCCCACCATGGACGCAATGGCCAGCAGGATATGCAAATGCAGGAACGCTTCGTAGAAGGCATGTCGGAGAGGCGAGATGGACTGCACAAGGATAGCCGCAAATGCGATAAAAGCCTTGCACATGTCAGCAATCCCCTCTCCACAACAAAGTGCAAGGCCTACCTACCGTCATACCATAGACGAAAAACGGTGTGTGCCAGACAACCTGTGTCACAGCAGACAAACTACCCACTATAGACTGATAGTCAGCGTGTGGTTCATGTCCTTATCAGAGATAGAAATATGACTTACACTCCTTCTGCCGAGGGATAATCGCCAAGACGACATGCACAATCGAGGCCGCAACAACCAAGCGCCCGGCCCAACGATGAATCAGATTGAACGTATCAAACTTGATCCCCAGCAGCGGGATCAGCGGGTTGTTGCGACCCGCCGCGAGGATCAACCCGGGCAGATTCAACACCGCCAGCGTGCCACTCGTATACTGAAGCTGGTACATCACCTCCTCCCACTCGGCCCACCAGTCCACCGTCGCGAAGAAGAACCCCACGTTCAGCGCAATATACACGGTCAAAAGAATCGCCTCCAGTCGCAGTGGGATGATCCCCATGTGGCAGCGCCCCACCCGGAACTCGCGACTATGCCGCGTCGACAGCAGCGGCGCATAGAAGACATGTTTGTTGAGCGCGGCGGACAGCGTATTGCTCCGCGCATATCGGTCCTGGTCGTCGTCTTCGCTCTCGAGTATCCGACGTAACCGGCGTCGATGTTGTAACTGTGTGTACAGGTTGCTGACGAAGAGCACGAACACTCCACCGGCGAAAATGAAGATCGGAGTCGCCAAGGAGACTTTCATTGGGGGATGAACATTTCGAAGCCGCGGGTGGTCCGGGTCATGGTAGTCTACCCCCATTTTGCTGTAGCAGTAAAGGCCGCCGTGTTGAAAGATTTGAAATGTCCTTGGATGTGGGTGGGTGGGTTGCGTGTGCTGGAGAGGGGAGCAGAGATTGGAGAGCGTGTGCGCACTTTCGCCAGGAAACAAGCGAAAGGCCTCAGATTAAAGACCAGTGCTCAAACCGGGAAAGCGCCGGTAGCCCCTTCTACATATACCAGCACTGGCAGTTGTGATTCTAGATCCATCTCCATCATGACGTGCAAGCGGCTGCATAGGGCACACCTCTTCATAACTATGCCGTCATCCATCGCTCTTTGCGCCTGGGGGGAGAGGGGGAGGAGCCATTGTATGTGCGATGATACCGTAGAAAGCGAGCAGCAAAGCAGACTCGGACGGCCGTCTCGAGACTCGGCGCTTTCATGCAACGGAAATGCATCGCAGCAGAGTCCAGCTGCGCAGAAAAGGCATTGCAACCTCAGAGGCCAGTGTGGGGGTTTGGTTGACTTTCCGTGGAATGTGTGCCTCCCTCCCCTCCCCTTGATTCGTCGGGGGGAAAATTCAAGGACTGCTTGGACCTGGCATAGTCGACAGGTACGCACACCCGGCAGATTGCCCGGTTAACCTTAACCTGCTTAGCCCGCCCAGCAAGACTTGGGTCTGCAAGCATTTGGCATCCGTCAAAAAGGTCTGTGGATGAGACAGAAGCGTGTGTTTGCGGGGCGATGGAACGGCAGCGCCGAAAACGGAAGGGAAATATGCGTCTCTGCTGCATCCGCCCTACCGGACCCTTCCCAAACCCCCCCAGTGCAGCTCTGCCTCTGCTGTCGCTTCAATTCAGGTTTTCTGCTGCTGGTATCCAAGCGACGTGGTCGTTATGACGTTCAAGCTGACGATAATTGACGACAAGGACCTGTCACAACACGTCCATCCGAGCTGAAGGGGGTGTTTTTCTTTTGTCCAGTACACAAATGTATCTCTCCAAATCACCAGTGCTTCAACCAAGCCCAATCTGTCCCGAGGTTAGACACGCCGTCTATGGTAGTAAAAGCCCATAGTAGAGTTTGTGACAGCTAAACTTACCAGCTCGTGGTGCTGGTTGCAGCCCCTTGCGGGTGGATCGAGGTCTGCCCGCATCCCTAGGGTAGGAGTACACAGGCTGAGAGCAAATCAATTGACGTCATGCAATCGAAGCACAGTCGATAGGTAGCTCAATGACACAACGAACAGCTGCGCCGATCTTCCTTCGATCAGGTAACATTATTGCATCGTGCGCGCTGTCTTTGGCGTGGAAGCCATTGTAACGTCGGGGACGGCAGGTGCATTGTTCCCTCCCGCTTAGGGCAACCGCCGCAGAAACCTCATGTCATCATGACTAGAAAGAGACTTAAAAGAGGCAATGTCTAGACCTCCATCGACCAGTCCAGCTTCGATGCCACGGTGGTTTTTCGTCCTCATAGGCAAGATGGAGTGTCGCTAAACTTGCTATCCTGAGCAGTGGGCTTGTGCTGTCATCGCTGCGCCTACCGATGACAAGTGCGGTCAAGCAGAGCAAAGCATTGCGACAAGGATTAAGAAGCAAGGAAGCGGAGAAGATATCCAGACCAGAATTTGTGTACGATGTGATGTTGGTACGGCACACTCGAACATCTCCATTGAACGTAGTTTGCCACTTTCCGGAGATTTATTTGACTTTGCCGTTCAATCTCGACCAGAGGATCTGACACAGCGACAATGCGCCTGATGTCTCACCACAAAAGGCAGTACCTGAGCCCCCATAAAACATGCTCACATTGTATTCCCTGCGTGGGTTTGTTACAAAGTCAAATAAGTGATCGCGATCCGTGTGTCCCGCATGCTCCGACAATCAGGAAAAATGCCAGGGGAAAAGCGGAAAAACATGAAGCCAACCTGAACTCGACATCAACCCAACGCCATTATTCACTGTTGTACAGATAGATAATCTATGAAATGACGACGTCCAAGAAAAACGTGGCCCCGGCCAAGACCTTCAAGTCGCATTAGGGCACTCAATATGTCGTAAGAATGAAGTGAGTATTAAGCATTATGGAGAAACAAAAACTGCGATGAATTGTGTGCCTTGATCGGTTGGATCCCAAAGAACGGGGAGGTATTGATTGCGTAACCCGAAGAAACAGACCCCCGGCACCGAAGTACCCCCCATTTCATTTATCCCTGCAGGAAAGCGATGTACGCCATTACAATTGAACAAGAAAGCATGTACATGTGGTATTGAGTCGACTGAAGGGCCAATCGTGGCCAAATCGTGAGATGTAACGTAACGGTGATATTGTAGAAAGCTTGTATTCGGAATTCAAACTCCCATAATTCGGTGACTGCCTCGCTCCAGGCTGCAGCCACTGCCATCATGGATAGAGAACAAGCTTCGGGGAGAAGATCTAGCACACTCCCGGGGCACGTGGCAGTCAAGCCCGTCTCGAGCGCCTTTTCTTCTTCTTCTCCTTGACCTGCTTGGCTCTGCTCTTCTCCTTCCGAACGGATGAATAGTCCGCCACGTCGACACCGGCGCTATGGCATAAGGATGTGCATTCATTTTCAATCACCTTCACAATCTGAGGAGTAAAGCCGTAGAATGCGGGGTTGTAGGCATTCCGTGCCCAGTAGATCAGTTCAGAAGCGACTCGGCCCAGGTTGGGAATGGACTGGGGCGAAACTGCCGGCTTCGGGGAGAAGCGGGGTTTGTCGTCAGCTTCGTCATCGGAGCAGAGCGAGGATGGGGTCGAGCTTCTGGACGCGGGGGAGGAGGGGGATGATTCAGAAGAAGACAAGTAATCCGTGTCCGAAGCAAGAACATGCAACAGATGGTAAATTGAGGCAAAGCCAATTAGAGTCAAATCGACAGGATCGAGTGGGAGCTGATTGAACCATGTGATCGCTTTCTGGATGGTGAAGGATGCGGGGAGAGAGGTGTCACCCGTGGTTCGTGCCGTGAAGATGGCCGCAATCATGGCACAGCGGACGGATATGGCGATCTCATCCCGCACGGAGACCGGAAGTGACGAATCTAGGAAGTTGGAGACTTGACTCTGCTGACTCTTTCCTTTGTCCTTGGGCAGCGCTGCCAGGACGGCTCCGATGTTGGTAGCACGATCATGGTCGAAAAACACCGCTTTCATGACTAGAGCGCGGGTATGAGCGGCAGATGGCTGGGGAGCAACGTCCAGAGCGATCTTGATCTTGGCTTTGAACAAGTCACGGCTCTTCTTCGCATCGGGCCCTCCAGAGCTAGCCTCGAAGTATCGGAGCAGTGCTCGCTGCAAGAGGTGGCTTGACCACCAGGCGGCAAGAGCGTCGAGGGAGGACCGAATCGCAGGATCTTCCTCCACAACATCCAGAAGGGCCTCGTCATCGTCGGCTCCCTCTTGCGTAGGGCGGTTCCATGTAAGATTCGCCGCACGTTGGACAACAGTGTCGATCATGACCTCATCACAGTCAAGCTGCAGTAGGGCAGCCAAATGACTCGGCAGGGCCTCTGGATGGTCTTTTGGCATGGCTGCGTGCATCTTGCGGGCAAGATCCCACTGGTAGCCGGCTAATGATCGTGCGACATCATTGGAGATGTGGAAAGTCCATGATCCGGGAACACCGACTCGCCACAGAAGGATGCGGCAATGTAGCGCCTTGAGCATCATCCGCATTGGACTGCGAGGCAGGGTTCCTGCAGCGAAGATGGTGAGTACCAACCTACTCTTGCTGATTTCGGGATCTCCCCCAGCCAGTTGCGCATCGATGGCGATATCCCATGACTTCACGCGGCCCTTGTCGTCCTCCACGGTAACCCCGGTGATGGAAGAGTAGAGTTTCCAACCCAGAAGACAGCGCAGCACATACTCGAAGCAGCGCGAGGTGACCACGTACCACTCATGGAAGAACCGATGACGCGGCACACCGACTTGCTGGATGCTCGTTAACCACGCTTGACGGCGGAAGTTTGATGACGATAGCGTTGCATCGGACATGAATGCAGTCTTGGATGAGCCTGGTTGACTTTTGGGCCCGGCATTGAAGAGGTATACAAACACCACAAAGGCACTACCAACGACCAGAGTTGCGAGGATAAGGAAGTGCGAGATGGCCCTTGCGTGCCACGAGTACCAAAAGCTGCGAGCCATTGCCATCCAGTACTTGACGGTCGGATTTTGCAGGCTGTTCAACAAATTGACGGGAAGCGCCAGCAGTCCCTTGGCGGTGGAATCTGTCTCTTTGTTGCTACCCATACCCTCAAGAACCATCAGACCAGCAAGAGCGCCGAGCATGTATTTGTTGGGGTAGTAGGAGCGGCTGCGACCTCCGCCACCCTGGGTGGGCCTATTGCCGTTGCTGTTGCCGTTGCTGCTGGGATATTGCATGTAGGACTGGGAAAAGGCGCTGTTTTTGGCAGCTGCTTCGTCTCGAAGGCGCTGGAAGGCATCTGGTACCTTCATCAACCCCTCGGGGGGATGCAGCGTTGTAGGAGAGTGATCACTCGGCGAATCTTCAACCTGTGAGAACACACTCGGGGATGAACTTGCCCCAGACTCGGTATAGTTACTGGGCGATGAGACAGAAGCGGTGGATGTGATCATTTGTTCCGCAGCCTTATCTGCTAGACGAAGTCGGTTCTTGAGGGCTGTGTTTTCCTCTTCAAGTCGTTTGTTGCGGATCTCCAGGTGGCGAATATACTCTGTTGCCTTCGATAGGATGGAAGCCTTGTTCAGTTTGCTGGCAGGGGTGACACCCTCGCCTTCGTCATCATCGATGATGCTGCCGGCCGCATTTTTCGAGGCTCGCAGGCTGGGGACGCTGTCTCTCAATTCGGCGATCTTTTCGTTGAGGTTGGCTCGGTACCGCTTTTCGATAACGTTGTGTGCTCGTTTTTTGGCGGGCATTTTCTTGCCCGGTGGCACGACGCCGCTCACGGTTGATCCGTCGTCGTCACTGCCTGACTTGCGTTTGCGGGTGATTCCGTCCGGGGATAATGGTGAGCCCGCTGCAGTCGA